CCGCCTCCTAGGTGAGCCTGGGTCCCTGCCCCCAGGTAAGGCCTGAACCCCCGAAGTACGGCCTGCTGGCGTTGCATCCCCCACCCCCCGACTCGTGGCTCTCCACCCCTTGTTCAGGGCCACCTGTTGCCGCAACGGCTCCAATCAGGGAGGGGCAGCAGGCAGACGGCCACATCAAACCCTTGCATCAGCCTGTTCAGGTCACGCTCTTTATTCCCATTGTTAGGATGAGCACACTGAGGCCCAGAGAGGTGAAGACACCTCCCCAAGGTCATAGGGATCAGCAGCCTGGCCAGCACCAGGTGCACATCCAGAGCTACATCCCTTGTCCCACCCCTTATCCCATCGGACTGTGACTTGGCCCTTTCCTCCCTGCCCCAGACACCTGGAGGAGTTTGACTTGTCTCAGCTTTGATAGGGGAGCCCAAGGCATAGCCAAGTGCTCAGCTATTAGAGTCCAACCTGAAGTTCCCTCCTGGCGCCTACACAGCTTAACTTCACAGCTCTGAGTCCTAGTTCTCTCATCTGTAAAATGGAGACCCAGAAGAGTCCCTGTTTCACAGGACAGTCCTGAAGATTCATTGGCATAGTTTATGGAAAGTGCTAGAACATAGCACTCAATAAATGTTATCACTATCATTATTCCTAGAAGATAGAACACATATAATTGCCAACATTTGGCTGATTTTGACCTACATCGAGGCAGTTTCATACCCCTAGTATCATGTCGTGATTGGTCGTTCATCAGAATAGGAAGAGAGGTGTATGTGGCCAAGGCCCACTTTGAACTTCGACTGTGTTGCCAGAGCTTCTAATTGCTCTTGATGCCCCAACCTTCCTGCACAGCCCCCTCGGGGTTTGGAGGCTGCTGGAAGGAAAAAGCCCAGGTATGCAGAGTGGCTTTGCTTAGGGCAAATTGTGCGGTCTGCTTCCCTTGGTGATCTTGAGTAGCTGCACATCTCAGATGCAGGTTCAGAGAACAAAACTAGGTCTCTCCACCTGCCCTTTGCCTCATTTGATCTGTGCCAAAGGGCTAGGCCCGTCTTGGAACACCTGTTGCAGACTGGACCTGCTGGCACTCCCCAGGGAATGGCTTGTCTGGGAAGACCTTGTTTTCTTCCTTCCCTGGGAACTCTGGATTCATCCTGGCTGCCTCTGGCCAAGCAGGACAGCCCAAGGGCTGATTGGACCCTTGTTGTTCCCACAGCTTGGCCTGCTGGTCGACCTCTCTCCAGATGGCTTAATGATCCCCGAGGATGGAGTGAACCATGAGGAACTAGAGGCTGAGTTCTTGGCCTTGGTGGGGGATCAGCCCCCAGCCCTAGAGAAGCTCAGAGGCAAAGGTAAGATGCTTAACATGCTTCTGAACATTTTTGGATCTCCTCCTGTGGGCTGAGCTTGGAGCTGGGCACTGGGTAGACAGGGGAAGGAAAACAGAGGGAGTTCCCTCCTGGAGCGCAGGGTGAGAGAGGAAGCGATCAACTCTGGACACAGACTGAGGATGTGAATCCCAGCACTTACCCATCATGTCATCTGTGCCGGCCTTGGTTTTCCCATCTGTAAAATGGGAATAGTACTTGTTCACATCATAGGAGTCAATCTAGGGCTCGTAAGGCCCTTCCCAAGAGCTGACTGACACATAATACACCTGTGTTATCATCAGTCCCAGCCTCTAACTTTCTGTCCCATGATTCGGGTGGGGTGGGGGAAGCACAGAGCTGTGGAGCCATATGTGAGTTGGGGGGGAATTCCTGCAGGAACCACTTATGAACAGCCAGGTGATGAGTTGGCCAGTGTTTCCAGGAGGGGTCACAGCAGGTGCAAAGGCCATGGGGTAGGTGGGGGGACGGGGGCAGAGGACTGTGCAGTGGTTGAGTAGAGTTGGAGCCTCGAGGCTAAACAAAGCCTTCAGATGTTTTAGCTGCTAGTCAGTCCTTGTTCCGTGTGGGTCTCATCTTTATGGATCTGCCTCCTCGCTACAATGCATTTGATTTGGGGACCCTCAAGAGTGGTAAGACAGTTGGAGCCCCTTGCAAAGAAGCAGGAGAAAGCGGTGCTCAGCTTTCGTGTTTCGGCTCTTCTGTCGTAAACAACGGTCCTTCCTGGTCTGTTCAGTGCCACACTTTTCTCATTTTCCTGCTTTTTGTTGGTGATTTCACTGTTCAAAATGGTCCCAAGCAAAAAGGTCATGCTCTGATGACAGGTCCTAGGAGCACAGAGGACTGTGAGGTGACTTGCAGAGGTCAACCTCACTCAGGTGCGAGTTCACGTTCTGTTGGCCGCGTGCTCAGTGTTCACTAATCAGCACGGATATTCAGCAAGAGGTCTTCAAAGAGAAGCACCCAAAAGCGAAGTTGGGTATTGATCACTTAGTAAAAATGTTGTGCCAGGGGCTGGGGCTGGGGCTCAGGTCGAGGCCCTGAGTCCATCCTCAGCACCACATAAAAATAAGTAAATAAAATAAAGGTATTGTGTCCAACTACAACTAAAAAATAAATATTTGTTAAAAAAATGTAGTGCCCACAAGCTCCCAGGGACCTGGTCCTGCACCTCATGTCCCAGCAATGAGCTACATCCACCAGCTCAGCCTCCTAGGCAGGTTCCTAGAGCAGAGCTCTTCTGAGTAATGGGCATAAGGTGAACAATAAGAGACCAGGGGTGCAGTGTCCCCCTGGTTCATGGTTTTTCTTCTGTGGTTTCAGTTACCCACAGTCAATCACAGTTGACTGGAAATAGTCAATGGAAGATTCCAGAAACAAACAATTCATAAGCCAAATTGCAAGGTGTCCTAATTAGTGTGATGAAATCTCCCAGCATCCTGTCCAAGGTGTGAATCATCCCTTGGTCCAGTGCGTCCACACTGTGTGTGCTGCCCGCCCATCATCCCTGAGCAGCCATCTGGATTGTCAGGTCCACTCTCGGCAGCACGGTGCTTGTGTTTGAGTGACCCTCACTGCACTTGATGGCCCCAAAGCCCGGGAGCACTGATACAAAGCAGGCATGAGGGCACAGACCACGGAAGGACAGAAGTTTTGGTGCCAACGTGGCAATGTTCAGGGCGTATAGGAAAATACTTAGTCGGTAGAGGGTTTGGTATTATCTGTGGTCTCGGACATCACAGGTGGCCTGGGAGTGTGTTCTCTGTGGTTCGTTCTAAGACCTTCGTTTACCTTTAGTCCCCACAATCTACCCGTGCAGAAGGAACTGTTATCCCTGGGTGACAGATGGGGAAACTCTAGCTCAGAGAGGTGAGGTGACTTGCCCAAGGTCACACAGGGAGAACGTTGCAGAGCTGGGATTTGAACTCAGGTAGCCTGGCCCCAGAACTGAGCTGGATAAAGAAGACATGAGTCCAGGGAGGTCGGTGTGGCAGGAGGGTGGCATCGTGCAGGGAGGGCTCGAGGACTCTGGGGTGCCGGGAAGGGCAGGAAAGGCATCTGCTGCCCTGCTGCTGGCCTCTGTGCCCTCAGGGCCTGGGTGTCTGGGATGGGAGGTTGGGGACCTTAGGGGACAGTGGTCTAGCGGAGGCCTCCTGCCACCAGGTCCCCTGCCCATGGAGGCCATTGAGAAGATGGCCAGGTTGTGTATGCGAGACCCAGACGAGGAGGAGGAGGAGGGGACGGACGACGATGACGTGGAGGCCGACGACGCGCTGCTGGTGAGCGCCGAGCCCGGAGAGGCCTCTCCCTGGCCCCGTCCAGCGGCTGCGTGTCCACCCTGGCTGTCTCCCACAGGCGGAGCTGAACGAGGTCCTCGGGGAAGACGAGAAGGTGCTGGAGCCCCCGCCCCCTGTGGCCCAGGTACAGCCCCCTCGAGCCCCCCCTCGGTCTGAGTCAAGGCTCACGGTGGCCTTTTCAGCCACGTGACCTGACAGGCGACAGGAACCTCTGCGCCCAAGTTTTCCCTATGGAGACCCTGATCGCTGCCCTCCTGGGTGGGGAGGCTGGCCGGGGGGACGTGTGTCAGGGCCAGGAAGGATCGAGGGGAAGCTGAGGACGGTCACCACCCAGACTGTGCCCGGCCCCCCGCAGCCGAAGCCCTCGGCCCCCCACCTGGGGCTGGAGGCCACCCTGCAGGAGCGCCTGGCCCTCTACCAGTCAGCCATCGAAAGCGCCAGGCAAGCTGGGGACAGCGCCAAGACACGGCGCTACGACCGGGGGCTCAAGGTGAGTGGGCGGGCAGGTCTGGGACAAGCCCCAGCGCCTGGCTCCGGCCCCTGACCCTGCCCATGCCTCACCCCAGACGCTGGAAAACCTGCTGGCCTCCGTCCGGAAGGGCAATGCCATCGATGAAGGGGACA